CCTACTTACGTATTATGGCAAAAAAACGTTCCAACACGCAATAACAAAAATTTATAACAATGTACTGTAAGAATGCCCAAAGCATACAACAAAAAGGCAGTTTAAAATAAGTTAAGAAAACTTTTTCTAATAAAGAGTACAAATTTGAATTGTACAACAATATAGGTAAGCTGTCATAATAATGTATGCACATCTATCTATATATGTATATGTGTACATAAACAATTATGCATGTATGAAAAATGCCGTTGTCCTTTTTTATTACTAATTAACGTTATATCAAAACTATTAGTTTCTTATATTAGGGGTAGTATATTTGTATTAAGCTATTTTTTGCATATTAGGAAGTAAGACAATGTATTTTTCTGCCAACAAACTGCTGAGCAGTTTGGCAGGCTGTAAAACTGTAACTGTGTGAATTTTATTATGTTAATTATATAAATAAATAAAGAGAATATCGCAGTAACAGACGTCTCGCTATGTCGCTGCTAGCCCTCACTGGTAGAGTATTTTACGTCCGGTATAAATGGGTCGTACAGTCATCTATATGAAACCATTGAATTATTCCGGCATTTTTCACAGTCGCTAAAATAAGTTGTAGATAAAATAAAAAATATCTTATTGTTTTGTTAAGCCCTTATTATATTTTTCAAAAGAAATGGCAACCTTTTTAAATGTGTTTTTACTATCCGATTTCTCTCAAATAATCTCATTTCAACAAATTATATTCTTCAGTGTGTTCTGTTGGATTTCACATGTAGAAATATTTCATTTCTTAGATTTTTAGGGTTTTCTCAAGTTAAATCAGACAACAAAATTGCAATCAACAATTTCTAATCGAATCAGGGTTTCTTTTATCTTCTTTCCTATATATAAAAATCAGTTGCGGTCCCTTACTCTCGATAAAACTCCAAAACGGCTGGAATGATTTTAATATTTTTATGTGTATTTGAGTGGGTCCCTGGATGGTTTAATAACTCAATTGGATCCGGTAGGTGGCAAAAGATTTTGTTTTAGCCAACTTTAGAAAAGTAGGAGGTACTCAGAGCGAGCGATGTGTTTAGAATGTTACGCGATATTTTCTTCAATGTTCTGTACAGCAATTGACTTTTGAAAGGCGGTGCTCTTCGATACCGACCGCATCGTCTGGTGGTTTATTTCCCTTTTTTTCTAACCCTCGACCTTTTGTTCTCCTTTGTCGAGCTTTCCATTAATCAAGTTACATATACATCCCAACCGGTTGAAAATAGTATTTTAATACCCTAATAATAATAATATAAAAAAGTAACTCTACTATCATCATCATTACAACACTTCACAAATCCAGTACTGTGTATAGTACTTCCCCAAGCAATGTCCCAAAACACGGTCCTAAGCCACGTGCATATATTGAAATCCTATCTCTTACGGGGTCGACACTCTGTCTAGTAGAGGCGATTCTACACATTCCTTACTGGTACTAGATTTCCACTTGAGAAACTTTCTTCCCAATTCGTTAATAGTTCTTGGAGCTATATGGCTGGTCCATTGCCGTTTTAGCTTACTGTACTACACCATCCCTTACATTATGGTAAAACTTAACATTTTACTAGCGAATCGCCTTGGTTTCACACGACACGACACGGTGATTTCTAGATCTGGGTCTAATTGTGAATCTAAACCGTTCAGCGACCAACTCAAACACGTACAAAAAATTTCATAAAAAAGCCTAGTCGTTTAGGAGAAGTTCAGTGAGAAACACTCGTACGGAAGAGTCATAACGAGTTGTATAATAAAAATTAACGTTTTATAGTTAATTCGTGGTAGGACTGTTTTTCTGCCTACGAGTTCGTCAGGGTAGGTACATCCCTTTTAAATATTTTTGCAGCCAAATAGCACTTCTTACAATGCTGCGTCTCAGTCTGATTGCTATAGAGAGCCAGTATTTAATACAGGCTCTGCAGCGTTCAAACTTCGTCCTCAAAGATGGCTCGCATGTGTAGCCTTTTTTATTTCAAGTTTGCTGCACGTGTACTCTAAGTTCATTTATTCCTTCTGCTTTAAAAAAAAGTAGGCAGTCTCCTGTTAAGTTCTGCAAGAGTGTGATAGCCTCTGTCAAATTTTTAATAAATATGACATTTACTTTCGAAAGAATGTAAAATATACAAAAATATTTTATGTACGCAAAGCATACTTATTGACGCTTAAAACCGTGAGCAATCTTTTCGACAAAAGTCGATTAGAAAGGACAAGATATGTATTAATAATTCAACAGACGTTGCTCGTAGGTCTGGCTCCGAATGATATTTTCTTCTCATACCGTTTAGAAAATATTGAGTTGGCGACATCATTTAATGTCTTTTTTTATTTCATTTTTCTCACGTCCTTTGTAGTAATATAACAAGTGGGACTTTCACTCACATTAATTTTATAAGCATAGTTGGAATGTTATGATACAAAGGATTTTTAATTTGATTTTTATCATTTAAGAGTATCAAAGAAGCGAACTCTACCTATTTTAAATAAAGTCATAGTTGTTTCGTCACTTATTAGTTCCTTTACAATAAGAGTGACAAGTTAGCACACAGTACACCTCATACTGAAATAAAAATCAAAACGAAGATACGTTGTCACCCCTGAGGAGTAAGATAGAATGCCTCGTTACAAGTAAACGAGTTTATATGATGGTAGAGTTTATGTCTTATAACAAGACACATCTAGCTGTGGATTATTATGAGCTAAAATATCAAAAATAAACATCGTAAATAAATATTGTGAGCACACAACCGACTTCACACAACTGTCGAAAGTTCCCAAAACAGCTCTCCCGTTTCGAGAAAGTTTTAATTGTCAGTAAGGTGGAATATTGCTAATTGTGGCTTAGCGCCGTAATCGAAGTTAACACGAATTGTTTCTGTCTATATGTTTAAATTCAAATGCATTAATTTTATATAATGCTGTATTTCGAAATACCGTTTACATTGTTGTCAAGAATTTAAAAAAAATATTTTAAACGTTTTATAACCTGACTACGATAATTTATAGTTAATGGAACTTACCTTAGGTGAACTTCAATCAAACTTATACGAGTTGCTGCATCCGTAGAGATCATAATTAGGATATAATTTGTATTATATTGCCGCATTGTGTTATTAGATAATGACTGAATCGTTATGTCAATAGTATCATTGTCTAAAGACCGACTGGCAAAAGCTTCCCAGATAACGTTGCGCACACCACAGTAAGGCTGCGCCACAAAGGATGAACAATCCTGTAATGAGAAATTAAGATGTTTTTATCAGGACCATAATATAATAGATTAGAATTGGTCAAAGATATATATAGCGGGCAGCGAGGTGGGCTTGGCCAATAAGGTGCTTTTAAGGCTTTATTAGCTTCAATATTATCCCGGAATTTTCTATATGACGCAAACATGAATAGTTTTCTTTGTTTGCACCAGTATTTTTATAGGAGCACACAGTCCACCTGATGGTAAGTGGTTCTGTGGCCCAGAGACATATACATCTATCAACAGATGCGTTGTCACCCGTGAGGACTAAGATGGAATGCCTCGTTTCCAGTAACAAGGGTCTCCGGTTCTCTACACTCACCATACGAAACACAGCACCATTAAGCTACTATTTGACGCTGGTATTCTGTGAGACTGCCATATCTCTCGAGTTACATCGTTTAACTGTAGAAACTGTATTCCACCCATCCTTTTAATGTAAGATATGGCAGTGGTGCTATCAATTCTTAACAAAACATCAGATTTGGTAATATATAAACACTTTAGTCCCATAAAGGCTGCTGCAAGTTCTAAATAGTTAATATGTTTTGCCTTTTCTTTCTCTGACCAATACCCGTTTACTGTTTCTCCGTTGCAGAATATTCCCCACCCTGTAAGTGAGGCATCGGATTTTCTCCGATCTAGTTATAAATGACTTGTTTTATAGAATTGTTTGCATAATTTATTTTTGATTCCCACCATAATGCGTTGAATTCCATTTTTGAGTCATAATCTTTTTCTTTCAAGAGAGCAAGATATTTTAACCCTCTCAAAGAGCTTGGTATATTATATCCAGCTGTCAGCTACGGCTGGACATTCAGCTGTTAGAGTACCTATAAAATGAGCAAAATCTCTTATCTTCACTTCTTACTTGATTTATAGGACATATTCTTAATCATTTTACTTATTTTACAACGTTTTACTGATGGTAATGTCAAGGTCATATGTTGTGAATTCAATAAAAATCCAAGAAATTTACAAATCTTACTAGGTATGAGAACACTTTTATCATAATTTATCACATAACCTAATTGCTCTAGAGAATGAATAACTTCCGTTATTGAATTTAAACGCGAGTTAGTCATCTAACGTGATCCAGAGGTCATCTAAATATGCTGCTAATTTATGGCCTTTACGGCGTAAGACTGTCAAAACCAGTTTCATCAATTTTGTAAAAATGAAAGCAGAACGGGAGGCAAGTAAATTCATACAATTTATTATCGAAACGAAATCGTGAGTACTTTCTAGAGGATTTATGGACGGTAACCAAACAATAAGCTTCTTTAAGATCAATTGTTGTCATAAAAAAAAGATCTATTGTTGCCATAAATTAATCTTCAGATAATCATTTTGAACATGTGCGAATGTCTTTCATTTTAAAATGATTTTGCAGTATAAATTTATTGAGTGACTTCAAATTAAGAACAAATGTATATTACGAGTATTTGTTACTTTTAGGAATATGAGATATCGAATCGAAATGAATATTGCGGTTTCAGAACGAAGAGAATTAACAGGATCCACGAGTTAGGTAGGAGTTCGAGTGAATATTAACGAATAGCCCCTTACTATATTCAATATATGGGGATTTATTGTTACTTTTAACCAATTGTGTAAAAAGTATTGAATACGACCAGCGTGTGGTACCTTTAGCGGAGGCTGTGCTAGTTCTGCAGCTGGTTGCCTGCGGTCGGCGGGCTGCTGAGGTGGAGGGTAGAACCGAGAACCGAGCATGCGCGCGCGCTGCACGCGCCGCTCCCTGCCCGCTCGGTCAGCGGGGGGCGCCGTGCCGCTGGCGGTTGCCTGCGGGCGTCGGGCTACTGAGGTGGAGGGTAGAACCGAGAACCGAGCATGCGCGCGCGCTGCACGCGCCGCTCCCTGCCCGCTCGGTCAGCGGGGGGCGCCGTGCCGCTGGCGGTTGCCTGCGGGCGTCGGGCTACTGAGGTGGAGGGTAGAACCGAGAACGCGCGCGCGCTGCACGCGCCGCTCCCTGCCCGCTCGGTCAGCGGGGGGCGCCGTGCCGCTGGCGGTTGCCTGCGGGCGTCAGGCTACTGAGGTGGAGGGTAGAACCGAGAACCGAGCATGCTCGCGCGCTGCACGCGCCGCTCCCTGTCCGCTCGGTCAACGGGAGGCGCCGTGCCGCTGGCGGTTGCCTGCGAGCGGCGGGCTGCTATGGAGGGTAGAACCGAGCCTGCACGCGGGCTGCACGCACCGCTCTCTTCATACCTGTGACCATGGGTTTCTAGGAGCAGACAATTGTGATTTTTTGATCTGCAGGCTAGATTTTTCTATTGACTTGGTTAGTTTGGATACGTTCGCTTAAATTGCCATCGAAGAGAAATTTTTAATACCTTTAATTACATTAATACGAGTAAAGCTTTTGTCTAACATCGGTTTAATTAATCGTCTACTACTCATTGTTTCCTCATGGTGAAGGTCTAGTAGCATTTGATTTATTAAGGATTTTTTTTTAATTATTTCGTATTTGCTTATTTCTTTACTCATTCACTTTGACGTTAGATATGCTAAACCTACAATGCCACAAACTAGTTGGTTTTGCATCTTTTCTAAATGCCTGTCACGATTTTTCGTCGATTTATTGACACAATCTCGATATTCAATTTGGGCGCTTCAGCAAGTTGAAAATTTTCGGGGATTAGTGTTTTTGTAAGCAAGTTTTCCTTCTGTTCTACCGTCAACCCTTCTATTTGGATTTAAATCCAACGTTCAGAGACTTCCAAAGGGACCTTCTGCCCAAAACTTTCTTCGGACGTTTTTGCTTCCCCAAGAACTGTCAAGATTTCTGGGGGCAGTGGAGTATACTTTACTCATCTTGTGATGGTGAATGAACATGGACTTCTTCTGAAGACTTTTCAGTAATAATAGTTTCAGCTTCAAACAACAGGGGTGCCAGCGTGGGCATTTCAATGACAAGCTTTGGCCTGCAGTGCTCAACTACGGCTTTTTCCTCACTGACATAACCACTACCACCGCCGTAATCGTATGCGTCGGACTCCATTTCTTCATACTCTTCGCAAGAGTTAATAGTCAAAGTTTAATTATAATAATCAAAGAGTTAATTATTATATTCAAGATCTAATAGAACAAGGTCACTTCGGCTTATTATTTACTTTCGGGATAACATCACGTGTCACCAAAGTTTTATATTTCCAGGTGACATCACGTGCCATCACTGATGAAATATTTGTATAAGTACAACAGACAATAACAATAGAACCATCCCGATTATTAGCTCCTCACTTTCTGGGTAGCATCACGTGTCAACACGTTAAGAAAGTAAGTTTTATATTTCCGGGTGACATCACGTGCCATCACTGATGACATATTGGTATAAATACTTCATATAATAACAATAGAACCATCCCGATTATTAGGTCTTCACTTTCTGGGTAGCATCACATGTTGGTATATATACTTCATATAATAACAATAGAACCATCCCGATTATTAGCTCCTCATTTTCTGGGTAATATCACGTGTCACCACATTAAGAAAGTAAGTAAATTATTTCCGGACGACATTACGTGCCACCACTGAGAAATTAAAATTACTTGAAATTTAATAATTAATATGTGGGTACTTAAATTAAAATTACCCATTAACATTATTCATGTACAATGTTCTTAGTAAACTGTACTTATTAAAATATTATCTTTATATCACTTGTTACAGCAACTATAAATAAGGAAAGTAAAGTTAAGTATCATTTAAAAAGATTTCAAAACTAACCTAATAAATATTAAGGCAATCCTCGGGCGGTTTTCGTCGAGACTTTAACTCCTTTTCCAAATGTGATATTTTGTTTCTAATTTCATCATCAGTATTCTCACTTGTTCTTTTTTCCATTTTAACACAAATTTAAAGAAAAAATAAAAAAAATCACTTCTTGCAGGGCACACGCGGATGATGCAACACACGGAAAACGAACGCCCAGCCGGGCCAGTAGGCTGACAGTGGCTTACAAAAGTCAATAGACAATCTTTTTATTATTTATTTTTTAATTTTTTGGAATAATAATATCTAAAATTCGTGTGATAAAACAGTACCACAGAAAGCGGACTACATAGTTGTTAAATCTCCTAGGATGCAGCAACGAAGTATAATGGTGCATGACTCTTGAATCTACGGTCAATAACCACCATGTAACTACCTTGTAACGATTAATAACAAATTCTTCCTACAATAAGATAGGCATCATTTCAAACAGTGGGCTTTGACAGTCGGATGAAGAAGAAATACCCAACTAACCCCGAGGTTCAGAGTTAAAACTAACACAATTTTTTGCGTACTAGGTCTCCCACGTATATTGCCTTATAGAGGGGATACTTGGCATATTTAACACACTTGGCTGGCGGGTTGGCAATCACAGTTTTATTTTTTAGTTATTATTCGGAAGTTCGTTCCATTCTGTCGCCACTTACTGCACCCACCAGACAATATGGGGTAGTGGATATCCTTACAACGCTACTTCACGATTAAAGATTTTTGTAGTCGTCAAAAAATATTCGGGTTTGAATGCAACGTGTTTGTCTGAGATAAATCTTTCATTCAAGCTTACTGTACACTTACTAGATCGCATCGTCATCATCATTACAGCTTTCAGAAGTCTACTGCTGATCAATTTATGTTGACATATGATGTTCAAATATTTTGTGACGTTAGATCTGAACATCAATTTAGTTAAACGCCAATTTTAATATTGAGTTAAGAGTGACAAACGTGTACACAATCCAACTAATGATAGGTGGATGTTGTATCCCATAGACATGTAATAAATTGTGAATGCTCGGTAGGTATACAAGAGAAACTGCACGAATTGAACAGTATGTGCAGGCATCACATATATATAAATATAGAAAACTGATAAATGACATAAATTCGTCCACTGCAACTGTAACAGTATCTATACCGCAGGGTAAAGTCCTAGGATGCTTGTTGTTTTCTATTTATATCAACAAATATTCCTTCAGTAGTACCACATAGAGTCGTTTTATTTGCAGATGACGCGTTACTTGTGAACAAAAAAAATCTTAGTGGTTTGCAGGAAAAATAACCCAATGCCTTAGCAAAATTGTGAACGAATTAGAGGTATTGGGCTTATTATTAAATTTTGAAAAGACCGAGTAATGCAGTTTCGCCCGTATCAGAGATCAGAAGTCCCACTTGCTATATCTTACCAAGGTATAAATATTGAGGAATTCCACACATTTTCACTCCTTAGGATAACAATAGACTCAACTTTTTCATGTAAAATCATATAGAAAGAGTAGTGTGGAAGTTGAGCAGCTTTTGCTATGCCCTGCGTGAGCTACGTAAGGAAACAAATGAGCAGTGCGTACTTACTCCGTACCACAGCCATGCCGCTGCTTGGATAAGATACGGCATCATATTCTGGGAAAACACTACCGAGGTATACGCGGGATCCATGCTCCAAAAAAGTTGCCTTAGAATCATCACATTCGCAGCTTCAAGAGATTCATGTCAAAGGTTGTTCCCCAGATACTACTTACTAACTGTAACGTGCATGTACATTTTTGAATTATCCCTCTTTGTTAGGAAAAATCCCCATTATTTCCAACGAATTGGAGATAGACCCAGTCGATATGGCGCACGCCGTGGTTATAATCTGGTTGCTCCTGTCGCACATTTCACATTATTTAAAAATAGTCCCAAAGGCTATAAGGGGTATAAAGGGTTTACAACCATTTACACCTAATACGATAAAAGCCCTCCAGTGTCTTAAATTTCTATTTTTGACACTATTTAAGAAAATGCTTATTGTAAAAATATATTCTAATTTGAATTAATATTTTAGTGCTAAATTATAAATTAATTTTAATTATTTGACAATTTTCTTTATTTTTTTACTTATTTGACATTGTTAATATTTTTTCCTGAAAATTTTAAGCCTTATTTACATAATATAATTGTCGAATGATCAATAGTTGACATATAATATTTATTGAAATTTAATTTTTAAGTCAATGTGTGTATATTATTTAGTCCGACATTTAAATATTGTAATTTAATTGAATTATTTAATATTTAAAATTTAAACTATGTCTTAATATGCTACGCCCGTACAGGATGTCACAATATTGTTACAACTTTATACTTTGTGAAATGCAATAAATTATGAATTATCATCTATATTGATGCTTGGTTAAAAATTAAAATGCAGATGTGGTTGCCCTGGGGGCTAATATGGAATTCCTACTTATTAGTAAAAAGAGTATCCGGTAATCTACACCAGGGTTCCTAAACATTTAAGGTATATGTAATGCAACACTCACCAAATCCCTATTATTTTTTGGAATTTAAATAAAATGGTTACAAATCAAAGACAGTGACATTTAAATAAGAACAAAAACTTCTACTACAAATATTTTAAAAGTGAAACCTTTACCTCTAAATATATTTAAGTGAAAAGTTTTAAAAGAAAAGTTACTAAATATTGCACAGCACCATGGTCCCGAATGATCAATAACTGCCTACGTACCTGCATAACAGTAATAGGTACTTCTCATCACATATTTTGGACTATTAAAAAATATATTTGTACCTGACTGCAGAATTATTTAAAAGAAAAAATAAATTTATTCGTGAAACCCTGGTGCTTTTCTAAAGAACCCTTTCACTTTAGGAACATCTGCCCTAAACTCGCCGTACAAAGCATAGCAGCATTATTCTGCTGTTTTCTGTGAAAGCTTGGCCCTACCACGATCGTGCCGACCCATTCGTGTTGGACATAAAATATAGATGCTGCATGGCACTACCACGATTAAAACTTCTCAGTAATTTTATACACATAATACAGTAATTTTATACAGAGATCACATATTCTGAAATTAGTTTTTCGTAGGAAATCATTTGTGAAATCAACTTTGAGGTTAAAAAAAAACTGAAAAGTATTTCTTTATAAATGATAAAATATGTAAATAAAGTATGCGATGCCTGTGTACATTTACTTTATATGCTAAGTGCAATAATTTTATGTAATTGAAATTTATAACAACCCGATTAGAGAATGGGGGGTTTCGATATATGCGAGTGGCTTACGTTTGAGGTATTTCTTGAGGAAAGCCTATGTTTGGCAGTCTCGTGTTAGACTGTAAATGATATTCTTAATTTCACAGATTTTCCTCAACATACAATTATGTCAGTCCCATCATTAAGTAATATTAATAAAATACAACAATAAAAACAACTATGACTGCTAGAGTTGATAGTTAAAAAACTACTTAAAACAAAAGTTTCCGCAGAGCTTGGTGAAGATATTAAAATTTCATGTATTTAAAACATTATTATTTTATATTTGATATTACAATCTTTGTTTTTCTCTGATATTTCAGTTACATTCTAGAAGTAAGAAATAACGTTTCCGAGCTTATAGCAACTTCCGTATTTAGAAAATGAGACATTTTTATCAAAATAAAACTTTGCTAAGTGAATATAAATAGTCTTATAGACAGATAGATAATAAAAGATTGTTGATGATGAAATAAAATAATTAAATATTTCTTCTCTTATATTTAAAGACATTCATAAACAAAACCATAGACAATTCGTCCAGTGAATTAAAGACAGTTTTATCGACATTTGATTATAAAAATTGCATGGAAACTTTAGATAAACGCGAAACAACTAAATACAATGAATGCAAAAATAAACACATTGATAAATACCATAAATTAACAACTAAATCAAATGTCCAACATACGAAATCGTTGACCACAGACACGAATCATAAACAACGCGCTGTCTACAACTTATCAAAACAAACACTGGACGACGCCACAATAAAAGTTTTAGAAAAAGGTATTAATTTCGCAATAACACCGCGAAAAATACCGTATAAGGACATTATCTGTAGTGTTGAGGACTGTCTGTATAAAAATAATATTGGTAATGAAGATTTAGAGGCCATACGTCAAGACATCTCGTCTATGTTACGTCGAAGTTCAGCGCCGAAATTAAATCTCCCCAAAAATGAATTTAACGCGTTGA